GGGGCTCACGTGGCCTAGAGGTTAACCCTATCCATACGTCCTGGGGTCATTTTGTACCCCAGGGGTTGTATTCTTCACATTTTAGAATATTTCTTGGACGAAGATCTCTTTGAAACTTTCAGTATTTCTCTAAATATCATTTTGACAAACTGCTATGCAAAGCGTACGGATCGGATTAACGAGTGAATTTACGCTTTGAAAGTGGTGGCACAGAGTTCCCCACTTCCTATGGTTACGATAGTAAAACACGACGTACGGATAGGGTTAAGGTGTTCTCCTCTCTTTCAAAGGTCCCGGGTTTGAATCCGGGTAGCGACGGAAAAATTCTATTCTCTAAATATTGTTTCCTTTCACGTTCTTCCCTTCTCTTACAATATTCTGTCGTCTGCTTTCGCCTCCACCTTATTCCCCACCTTCTCACCTCCTTTGCCCCCCCCCCCTTTGGGCTCCTGACTCTTTCTGCAGCTTTTCTACTGCTACTCCCTGGCTCCTCCTTACTGCTGTCTTTCAGCCACACCCCTGATCTTATGGTAGGAAACTTCTACTGCTAGCCTTCTCGGACAAGGGCGAAAAATCTCCGAGGTCCCGTCTGCAAATTGAACTCGTTAAAGATCCCTTGGTGGTCTAAAATCGATAAGAGTAGGCTTCGGCGCCCCGCGGGCAAAATTCAAAACTTCCTACCCACTGAAAATGTTTAATATGTCCCGCGCGCTCATATTTATTATGACCTTATGCAGTTGCGAGCGCCGTAAAACACTTAACCTATGTTGACGCTTGTCCCTGTGTGCACTAAATAATGACCGTTATTGTGTACAGATGATCATATTTACCCAAACAAGTGCCCAAATAAAAGGTCCATAGTTGCATGATCGTAAAAAAAAAATTTGTTTCCTTTTCTCAAAACGTCAAAAAGTGACCGAAGCACTTTTGCATGGTACTTATGCTATGAATAAACTCGAAATAAGGCTTGCAAGGTCTTTTTTTTTTCCTATAAAAAATCTATCGTCTCCATCTCCCCTCCTTCTTTTTTGTGTTTGTTACTCTCTTGTAACAACTATAATCATCGACACCTATTAGACATTATTGTGTCGCAAGTACCGTAATACTCTTACAAAAACAACTTTATTGTGTCTATACGATCATCTTTACCCAGACAAGTGCCCAAATAAAAAGTCCCTATTCGGATGATCTTTTTTAAAAAATCTTTTTTTTTTTTCATTTTCTCAAAACGTCCAAAAGTGACCGAAGCACTTTTTGAATGACTCTAATACTATGAACAAACTCGAAATAAGGTTTACAGGGTCTTTTTTTTTCCTTAAAAAAATCTATCGCCTCTATCCTTCTGTTTTTGTGTTTGTTTCTCTCTTGTAACACCTCTAATCTTTTGGCGTTCATATGACCTTATTGTGTTGCGAGTGCCGTAAAACTCTTTCTAAAACTAAACTAAAGGTCTTTATTTTCAGGGGTTTTCTTTTCAGAGTTCCCTGCTCAACCGAGGTCCACACAAAGACTTGCAAATTACACATCGTCCTTTTTCCTCTTCTGATCCACTGGACCGACCGCCTCATTAAATAACTGTTGATAGTGACGTAAAACACATGCACTTCCTTTTTTTTAAATTAACTGATTTACTTCAGAAAAATACGTGGATACATTTGACTTCGACATACCACCACCATCATCAGCAGGATCAGCAAGAACATTAAAGTTTCTGGAGTCATCGACAGATCTAATCGTCAGTCGCTCTGAGGATTCCGCGAAGGAGAATTCAACTTACAGTTGACAGAGATTGTTTCGTCATCTCCTTTGTCAGCGCGAGTAAGTGTTGCAGAAACCGCTCTGGTGTTCTGATTTTTGAAAAAAATTAAATAAGCAGTCTGTTTTCTTCGGATTAAAGTTTTCGAAAATATTGGATTGGATTAAAGTTTTCGAAAATATTGGATTGGATTAAAGTTTTCGAGAATATTGGATTGGATTAAAGTTTTCGAAAATATTGGATTGGATTAACGTTTTCGAAAATATTGGATTGGATTAAAGTTTTCGGAAAAATTGGATTGGATTAAAGTTTTCGGAAAAATTGGATTGGAATCGATCCTGCAGCGAGTGTGCGTATACTACCTTGTTCAAGATGTCGACTACATTAAGGCCGAACCAGCTGAAGTCTCCGGAGTATCGAATTCCTCGAGACGAGCTGCACAAGTATGGGGTGAG